AAGTCAAGGGCTACTGCAGGTTGTCTCTATGATTATTGTCGCACTAAAATGTTCCTCAGATTGGTAAAATTTTCCTTCATCTAGCCAGTGTTAACTAAAGAATAATTATTGAGGAGGTAGAATAATGCTTAAGGTGGGGGGGGATAGAATCAATGTTGAAAAACAAAATAAAAACAATAGAAACTCAACACCTAAACAATGATATTTAAATGCACTGCCATCCAGTTGACTCAAACTTACAGGACCGATTAGAACAGCTCACAGGATTTCCAAGGCTCTAAGCGGACTGCCTCAATTTCTCCATGAGCAGTTCCCATGGATTTAAACCACTGACCTTTTGTTTTGGCAGCTGACTGCCTTAACCCCAGTACCACGAGAGCTACTCAATGACATTTAAGTAATGCTTTTTTTTTGTTCTGGTTAGTTTGTTGACATTATTGTTACTAGAACATTTGAGTGATGGCAAACAGTTCATTTTCTCAGTTACTAGTTGAAAGGTTGGAGGTTTGAGTCCACCTAGCAGTTCCTCAGAAGGAAGGCCTAGTACTCTGCTTGTGAGACATCAACCATTAAAAACTTTATGGAGCATTTCTGCTTGGAGACATGTAAGGTTACCCTAACTTGGCAGCAATTATTTTTAAAATAATAATTATCATTCCTGCTATTCTTGTTTCTGTATTGATTCAGTTCAGAAGGTTTTTGTTTTCTTTATGTTAGTGTTATCCATACTGAAGTCTCTCTGATCTCCTTCAGTAAGTTCTTTAAATCCTTTTCACTTTGAGCAAGCAACATTGAGTCCTCTGCATATCACAGGTATCACAGGTTGTCAATGAGTCTTCCTCCAGTCCTGATATCACATTCTTGTTCATATAGTCCAGCTTCTTGAATTATTTGCTTAGAGGTTAAATAGATAATGGTGAAAAGCTAGAACTCTGACCCACACAGTTTTCTGATTATAACATTTTGATGATCAAATAACTGCTTCTTGGTACAGGTAGATTCTGTATGAGAACAACTGGACCAATAAGCAGTAATGTGATAAAAGGAGAAAATATTTAAGTTGTCAATGATTTAATTTTATTTGGATCCACAATTAACACCCATGGGAGCAGCAGGCAAGAAATCAAAAGGCATACTGTACTGGGTAAATCTACTGCCAATGACCTCTTTAAATTGCTAAAAAAGCTAAGATAATAGGTTTAAGGCTTAAGTCTTAACCCAAACTATGGTATTTTTAATTGCTTCATAAATATGTGAAAGTTGGACAATGTATAAGGAAGCCTGAAGAACCACTGAAATATCTTAATGTTGGTATTGGTGAAGAATATTGAATATATCATGGACTACCAAAAGAACCAAAAATTCCTCCTGGGAGGAAGAGCAACCAGGCCTCTCCTTGGAGGCAAAGTGGTGAGACATCACCTCACCTATGTGGGACACATTATCATGAGTAGCCAATTGCTGGAAAAGGACATCATGATTAAAAAAAATAGAGGGCCAAGAAAAAAACAGGATGACCATTTGTGAGATTGATTGACCCAGTGACTGTTATTGGAATTAAGTACTGACGAGATTCAATGACTGTTACTGGAATGAAGTATAGCCGAGATTTTCATGGTAGCACAGGATCCTGTAGCTTTGTTCTGTTGTGCGCAAGGCCAATATGATTCAGGGTCAACTTCATGGTATCTAACAACAATTCTTGTCTCCTAATGACTTCATTGGTTTTTTTCTTCTAGGACTAGGGAATTACATAATTAAAGGCAAAGGCTTTGGTATGAAATGGGTTCAAATCCTTACTCTTCGTCTTAGAACACACTGAACAGCTGTGTGGAGTACAGTAAAAATGCCGATGACTTATATAAATAATTTTGTATGTAAATAACCTGCTAGCTAACAATGTATAAAAATCCTAACTCATTAATGACATTTGACTTTCTAGTTTAAGTTGTTCTGTACTGTTGAATTGGAACCAAATCATAGCTGACCATTCAGTGGACAGTAAGAGGAGTGCTGAATGCACCATGGACTGCCAAAAGAACAGATATGTCCTGGAGAAGAGGCGGCCAGAGTGCTCCCTGGAGGCAAAGATAAAGAAGCTTCATCTCACATATTTTGAGCATGTTGCTAGGAGAGGTTATTCCTTGGAGAGGGACATTGTGCTTGGAAAGATGAAAGGAAGGTGAAGGACAGGAAGATCTCCAACCAGATGGATTGACATAGTGACTACAGCAGTGGGCTTGAGTGTGTCAAAGATTGTGAGGATGGCACAGGATAGGACAGGACTCAGATCTGTTGTTTATAGGGTTGCTATGAGTTGCACTTAACTTGATGACACATAACTACAACAACAAATCACACAGAAGGATACTGCCTACAGTTCTCCCTTAGAGTAGTTGTTAATTCAAACTGTGTATCTTTGAGTAGGCAGTGCAATGCTGTACCCACAGGCCACCAGAGCTCTAGTTTAAATAGTAATGTTTTATCTATATCAGGTCTCAAAAACATGCGTAGCTCCACAACCTTTTTACATTAACCATCTGATTTGCATTTATGGAGAACTGAACAGGAGTGCTAGAAATAGATTCAATTGTCTCATACTTGAACATCCCTACCTTCAGGACATAAAGGGAGCATATTGGAAGAACTGCACCACACATTTTTCATGACATGCATGAGTTATTTATTGCTATACCACCAACCCCCTAAAGCTTCTTCCTCTCTCGCTCCATCATTGCTATCAAGTTGGAACTGACTAACCGCTGACTCTCTATTACATCCTGAAGCCTGTAAATCACAAAGGAAGAGACGGTCCATTTTTCTCCCATCCAGTTTCATGGCACCTATGAGCAACAACAACAACAAAGTTACTAGTAAATCCAAACTTCCAGAGGCACAGCTTTTGGATTAACAGCACAACTCCCCAAACACTATGTCCCACAGCTCTCTACCCCAGATTTTAGTTGTTGTTGTTACGTGCTGTCGAGTCACCTGCAACTCATAGTGACCCAATGTACAATAGTCCTAAACTCTGCTCTATCTTGTGCCAATCTTACTGTCTCTAACACCCTTAACCCCATTACCCCAGTCACTGAATCAATCCATCTCATTAAGGGTCTTCTTATCTTGCATTGTCCCTCCACCCTCTAAAGCATGATGTCCCTTTCCAAGGATTGGTTCCTCCTTGTAATATGTCCAAAGTATGTCAGAAAAAGCTTCAGAAAACTTACCTCCAAGGAACAGGCTGGTTTCACCCTCTCCAGGACAAACCTGTTTGTTCTCTTAGCCTTTCATCGTATATTCAATACTCTTCTCCAGCACCACAACCCAAAGACGTCAATTCTCCTTCTATCATCTCTAGTCATTGTCCAGCTCTCTGATGCATAGCAAGTGATTGCAAAGACCATGGCTTGTATCAGGTGCACCTTAATCTCCAGACTGACATTGTCGCTGCTGGTCTAAGTGTGTTCTATTCTACACAGGGTTTTCGAAGGTCTGCTATTTTGAAAGTGGATGACCAGTCTTTCCTCCTAGTCTGTCTTAATCTGAATGCTTTGATTTAGAACAGTATCTGACATAAAAACATTTTTATGGAAAAGTGCAGATAAAAGATATTTCCTCAATTGTAGAAATAACCAATAGATTCAGTATTGTCCTAGCACTTGACACGTGTGTCTTGACCCACTGATTTCTCTGCTCCACCAGTGTTCCCTTCTACTCCCAGCTACTCCATTCAACACCTATGTCCCACTACCCAGCCCTTCATATGATAGATAGCTTATATCTTAAGGTTTCTATACTTTTGTGATTCCAAATGCCTCAAGCTGCTGCCAGTTTCTTGTGCTGCAGCCAGTATCTCTGAGTTTAGGAGTCTGTAAGTCCAAGTACCAGGTACTACTATCAGGGAAGTCTTCCTATCTCAGAGGGTTCTGAGAAAAAGTTCTTTCTCTTGAATTTCTGCTTCAGGATTGACTTCTTGGGGCTTAGGGCCTCTTTTCCATTTGCAGCACACTGAAGTCACAATGGGATAGTTTCCCAAGGGAGCATGATGTGTCCTGTAGATCTGGTATATAAACTGAATCCCCGCCTCCTGCACTGCCTCTTGCCTCCCATGTAGCGTTCTGCCTCCTGGCCTTGTTCCCCAAAGAATGTAAGGCTCCTCCTTGATCCACAGGCTTCTGGGAAATGTGAGCTTACCTGTTGTTTGGGGGAAGCTGAGTTCCCGCCTCCAGTGTCTCTTTTGCCTTCGACACTGCCTCTTGCCTCCCATCCTGGTTCTCCAGAGAATGTAAGGCCCTGCCTTAATGCTGCTTTGTGTCAACTGAATGGTTTTGCGGATTTGGACTTGGCTTTGCCTCAACTACCTTTGATTGTACAATCCCTAGTGAGCTGCATTGCTGACTCTGAGGCTGCACATCTCTAGCAGTTCTTACCCAACAACGGCCCCACCAGAGAAAGAGGTGTCATCTCCTCTCACTGCCATTTGCAGCCTTGGAAATTCCATGGGGAGTCACTATGAGTTGGAATCAACATGATGGCGGTGAGTGAGTGAGTGAATGCCTGTGATTGGCAGGTTGATTCAGTGCTGGTTGGCATAGGTCACACTCATATCTCTAGTTACTGTTCTTGGCTCCCACCTGGGGATTGGAGATAACCAGACCATCCATGTATGTCTTACCTAGCAGCTGACTAACTCTGGGTTATTTATAGGAGACCACAAGTTTCAAGACCAGGACAGAAGCAAGTTTTGAAGAGTAAGGGCTTCTCACATCTCTGAGGTATTTCAAAACATGTTACAAGCTCAATCCATACTCGAGAAGTACAGGAGATACAGAACCACATTGCAAAGTCACGAGGAGAGCGAAGAAGAATATGTGGGGATTTTTGCAATTTATGGGTGGCTTTTGATAATATAAATACTTTTCCATTTAAATCTATTGCTGTAGTAGATGGGAAATCCTTGACCTAATTCTGTCTTCTATTTTACCTTACTCCACTAGGTATCTTCTGGGTCCATTCAAGAAAATGTGAAAGACCGTGTGATTGATTCAAGACTGCAGTTGTTGACCACCAAGCCAGGCCTCTACACTTGTATAGCTACAAATAAACATGGAGAGAAGTTCAGCACAGCAAAGGCTGCAGCTACCATCAGTATAGCAGGTGAGATGGCTCTGGATGTTTATGTCGCTTAGGACGAGAAAGGATTTGGTACTGTTTCTCAACATCTGGTATTGGGGCAAAGCTCTCTCTTCTTCTAACACATCAGTTTCTTTTCTGTTCTTTTTCTGCTCCAAGAGGACACTTCAGAGGCAAACCTCGATGTTGAATTTGGCTGATTTGTGGCCTCAAAGACTAAATCCTCAAATACTTTCCCCAAGCTATAGGAAACAGCTTCCAGAAGCTCATTTTCTCTCTCTCTTTCAGCTAAGCAAACTTTTCAAGTAAATTGGCAGGTATTTAACCTGGCTGTGCCAATTTCTTCTTGGCCCTTTCCTGAGGGCATTTTTACCTAAGATTATGTGATCTACTTTTGTGGTCTTTCTCATTTCTGTTGCATGTAAATGATAGCAGGAGTTTTCAAGGAAAAGGGCTGACTCATAGATTTCTAGGATATTTGTGTTGATTAGAGAGGTTTATTTTTAAAATGTAAAATACCCAAAGGCTCCTGAGAACCATTATGGAATTCTTAGAGATGGAAAGAAACTCTGTGTAGGGAAATACCCAGCATGTTTTAGTTGTTGTATGACTTTAAAGAATAATTTTGTTGTTGTATGACTTTCAATAATTTAGTTGTTATATGACTGTAAACAATTATGTGTTATATTATTTTAAATGTTTATTGTTATATGACTTTAGATATTTATATAAATTGTATAATAACAATTACACATTATTAGCAATAAATATGTAAACTAATTATATAAACATACATGTGTTAGGTATCATCATGTCAATCTGACTGGTAGCAGTCCTATGTACAACACAATGAAGTCTTGCCTGATCCTGGGCCATCTTCATATTCACTCCATGCTTAAGCCTGCATTTACAGTTCCTGGTCAATGCATATCTTTGAAGGTCTTCTACTCCTCTATGACCCTCCACCTTCCCTTTGAAGAACTGGTCCCTCCTGACAACATGGCCAAAGTATGTGAGATGCAGTTTCACCATCCTTGCCTCTGTTTTAGAGTGAAACAACCATACATGCTGCTCACAGAAATAGCTGTTGAATAGCTTATTCTGAAACCCTCTCTATAACCAACAGCCATTTCACAGACATCTCCATGCTTTTGACTCCAAGTTTCACCCACCTCTCTAGCAAAGCTCCTTTACTGTACACATATAGCAAATTAGCCCATATAAATAAAGTTTAGGGTCCGCTTTATTTACATTTCTATGGACCAGATTTATACTTCTGGGAGTGCAAGAAGCAATGCTGCAATCCCATAGGCCACCAGCTGCTCTGCAGAAGGATGGGTAATCTTTTCCTGTGCCTCTGAAACTGCCTCTGAAAACCTGCTGCAGGGACCAGCTGTGGATCAGTTCCAACTGACTCTACAGCACACATCAACATGGACTGAATAGCTTTATCTGGCTCTGTATTCCCTTCTGTAATACCTATTGTCATTTCTCCTTTCTATGTTCTGTGAATATCCTGTTCTCTGATAAGATGCAGACATGAGGCCACCAAAAAGGCCTCTTATTTAAGAAACCAGAAAACCAGAAGTAGGGACATCCCCTTTATCACTTTAATGTAATTAAGTGATAAACTTAAGTGAGTTTATCACCATATCTGATAACTTGAATAAATTTAACTATAACATGTAATCATCAGAAACTTCAGGTTTAGCTGCCCTGTTAACTGTCCGATTCTCCCACTTTTTAATCTGTCTACCTTTTTTTCTTTTCTACAGCATGCCTAAACAATCTTTTCTTGACTTTTAATCACTGGATTTTTTTCCTCCTGTTCCCCCCCCCCCATTACAATATCTCTAAAGGATACCTTGGCTGTACTGATTTGAAAACAGATTTGTTTGCCCTTTTGGCAGTTATGCAATCCTCTTTTACCAACTTCAAAATTCAAAAGCACCAATTCTTCCTAAGTCTTCCTTATTCACTGAAGGAACATATAAAACAATGGAAAATACTGTGAGATTGGAAGGTGCACCTTATTCTTTAAATGGATATCCTTGCGCTTCAGCACTTGGAAAAGCTCCTTAACAGATTTGTTCAATGAAATGTGGCTTTTGTCTCCTTGACTGCTTTTTCCATGGGTATTGATCGTGAGTTCAAATAAAATGAAACAATTGGCAACTTCAATCTTTTCTCCATTTATCATGATCTTGCCTATTGATCTAGTTTTGAGTATTACTGTTTTCCTTTCAAGAGGTAATGCAGCCGTCAATATGGATTGAGGTTTAATATCAAGAAAAAGCACTCCTTAAGAATAGAAGAACGGTAGGAGGTATCTCACTCCCTGATTTCAAATCCTACTACACTGCCGTAGT